TCTCCAATTGAAGTAGCAGATATAGCTCCACCTTTCGCTTGGACCCTGAAGCTGAGAAACCAGATTTGAACAGGCGAGAGTGTCTGTGCATAATGAGATTTTGAGAGATGACAGTCAGTACGAGGAACATGTGTCTGTCTTGGTCTTGCCATGAGTCGAGGACGACAGCAAGAGACGTGACATACTAACCATGCGACTAACACGACGCCAATACCTCTTTAGGCTGTTAACAGCCATCAAGACCCACGAATGTGTCAAAGTAAGTTCAGCTTTTAAGTTCAGCTTTTCTTCGGTGATCGACACGAGAACGTGGCTTGTCCACGCTAGCCAGCCAACCCTGTCCGGCGCATTCGATGCAGCGTCGGTGTTAGTCTCTTGGACAACCACCATATCCCTCCCATTCTGGGAGCCGCAGAGTCGCAGGACACACGTCTAACCTCGGTGCGTCTCGGGTTGCTTCCGTTAAGGGGTGGGCTGGGGCTTTTCCCCCTCCCTCTCGCAAACACCCCCTTCTTTCTGGGGGGCGTTAGATCTGCAACCAACACACATTACGACGCTAATGGTGAAAGAATAGGCACGCCTCGTCTCCGATTGGACATTCAAAGGACGCAACAACCTGGGGGTGAGCTCTTCTCTGAGGCGAACAACAAAGCCGTGGCAAAGGTACCTACCTCTCGAGTTAATGCTTTCTTCTCTACACCCTCTCCCTTGGATGATGCTTTTGTGGTGGCTTGGAAAAGTTGGCGTGTTACAGGTGTGACGAGGGGAAAAGGTACACTACCTAGGGGACGGGACCGTTTTAAGAGGGATCTTCATCTTAATTGTGGCCAGATGGGCTGTGCTGGGTCGCACTGGGTTGCTTGCTCGAGGCAGACGGGACGCCTATAAGAGATGTGACGGCGCAGCGTTGTTGGGATCATTGATCAATCAGTACTACCTACTCCTCTACCCAATACACACACACATATCTCTACGAAACGCAACCATGGCTCCTCCTGACTCGGCATATGACTTTATTGTTTGCGGGTATGTTAAACACCGTTTAAATGATCGGCACTCGAAAGAGCCGTTCCGCTAATCAATCTCGTTCCGAATATAGCGGCGGAACTTCCGGCTGTGTAGTCGCATCTCGTCTCGCTGAGGATCCTAACGCCAAGGTTCTTGTCATTGAGGCAGGTCCTCACAATGAGAATCTTGAAAATGTTCACATGGTTGGAGGGTAAGTATTCCATTGACCCTCACATGTTCAACTCTAACTCACTCTGAAGATGGTCACAAAACTTTGACAAGGAAACAGATTGGAACGTCATCTCCACAGAGGGCGCTGGTGTCAACGGCCGTCAGGTAAAGCTCAGCAGGGGCAAATTCCTAGGTGGCTGCTCTGGCTGCAACGGTACCCTAATTGTCAAGGGAACAGTGAGTAGTTTTCAACCTCGGCTTTAATGTCTGTTGCATGTGCTAAATCCCATCCCCCTTGTAGAAACAAGACTACGATGATTGGAACCTCCCTGGCTGGAGCGGTGACGATTTCTTCAAGTACATGCGCAAGGTACGTGTGTGTGTGCAATTTCTTTCTCACATACATAAACTCGCATAATTTCTTTTCATTGCTTGCTTTTGTCCCGATCCGTCGGCTCGGATCTGTCGAATCTGCAATTTCCACGTCAAAACATTTTTGCTTTTTATAATAACGACTAACAAGACATCTATAGGCTGAAAACTTTCACTCCAAGCCCTGGTTCAACGAAGTCAAGGACTCCCATGGTCATGATGGTCATCTTCACACTGAGCCCCATGACTTGGCTCCCATCTCCAACCTCATCAGGGACTCGATGGTGTCCAAGGGTCTTCTGCTTGACCATGACATGTTCTCACATGGAAACAATCCCCATGGGTGTGGTCACTCTGTAAGGACTGTGTATAGCGGCCTTCGAACCACCGGTGCAGACTTTATCACCAAGGCCAAGCCCAAGGAGAATCTCCACCTCATGGTCGAGACCCATGTGGACAAGGTGATCATTGACAAGGATGAGAGCGGCGATCTCAAGGCCAGTGGTGTTCGCGTTGTTCAAGCTGATGGCACTGTTGTTGAGCTCAAGGCTCGTAAGGAGGTTATCGTCAGTGGAGGCGCCTACTGTTCTCCCAATATCCTCAACCGATCTGGCATCGGCGCCAAGGATGAGCTGGCCAAGCACGGCATCACCACCCTCGTCGATCTCCCCGGTGTCGGCAAGAACCTCCAGGACCATCTTATTGTCTTCATCTTCTACGAGACTGAAAAAGAGGGTCTGACAACTGATCACCTCGTCTACCACGGTGACGCCTTCGCCAAGTCATACGCTCAGTGGAAAGAGCAAAAGTCTGGCTTCCTCTCCACGTTCCCCTTTGGCATCTTTGCCTTTGCCCGTCTCGACGAACGTCTCGCCGACTCTGAGATTTGGAAGTCTGCTCCTCGAGAGGAAGGTCGAGACCCCATGGGCCTGACATCGAAGCAGCCTCACGTCGAGTTCTTCACGACAGAGTGCTACGGTGGACCCAAGCAATTTGACCAATTCCCCGTTGACAACAAGCATGCCTTTAGTATCATCGCTGAGCTGTTTGCACCCAAGTCACGAGGAAGCGTCACTCTTCGCAACGCAGATGCCACAGCTATCCCTGTAGTTGACTGCAACTACCTATCCGACCCCCTAGACCTCGAAGTCCTCGCCGAAGCCTGCGCGTTTGGCAACGAGATCGTCATGGAAGGCACCGGAACCAAAGACATCGTCAAGGGAGCCTGGCCGCCAGCCCTGACGCACCACAAGTACAAGACGCGCGACGACTGGAAGGAGTACGTCAAGAACGGCGCCACGACGTGTTACCACGCCAGCGGAACCTGTGCGGCCGGAAAGGCCGACGATCCCAAGGCGGTGGTCGATGAGAAGCTTAGAGTCCGGGGAGTCAAGAACCTCCGTGTGGCTGATTGTTCCATCATGCCTACCGTTAATAACGGACATACGCAGATGCCTGCTTATGGGATCGGCGAGAAGGCGGCTGACCTTGTCAAGGAGGCTTGGGTTTGAGGAGGTTGTTGCTATACATGTCAGATATTAGCGACAAGTTAAATAAAAAATACCCCAATGGACATTGATGATCTTGTTCAAGATACTTGCCACTGCAGTTTGTGTGTTTGTTGTCTTGGTGGCTTTGCCGTTGCATCACGATGGTGGCTTGATGGGCACTACCTAATTATTGCACTCTACTGTACGTACAGATTTAGATGACTAAGAATTTAGGTGAAGAATGCTCTGATTGGCAGACTAATTCCTGTCACAAAGTGGGCCTGTTTTACTGTTAACCCGGTAGATGCAAAACCTTCTATATTGCTTATACTACTTGTTAGCTCATGTGGGGCTAGCGCCCCAGGCGAGCTAACCTAGGCAAGGTAATCTAGCAAGCTAGGTTAGCTATAAAATTATAATATAGTAATTTAAGTATAGATATAATTAAAATTAATTAAGATAATAATTATTTTAAGTTATTATAATTAGCTAATTAAAAGAAATAAAATATTTTTAAAAGTTTTTTTATAATATTTATTAAATAAAGATTTAAAATTATATAAAATATTTTATAAAATTATATTATTATATTAAAAAATATTATTTTTTAAAAAAAAAAATAAAAAAAGGTTTTATTTTAAGCTATAAGGCTAAGATAAAAGTCTTATAAAGCTCTTAATAAAAGCTTTTTATTATAATTATAATCTCTAAAGTTATAAAAAGCTAAGTAAGTAAAATAATTATATAATATTAAAATATATTAAATCTAAGATAATAATAGTTATAATAATAAATAAAAATTTCTTTTATAAAGCCTTATTAAAAAGTAAGAAATATATAAGTCTATTATTATATAAGTTTATATAAAGTAATATAATATTTTTTATAAGATTTTATATTCTTATATAAATATTTTATTTTTATTTATATATCTTTTTTAATAAATTAATTATAAAGCTTTAAAATTAAAATATAATTTTATAACTAACTTAGCTTATAAGATTAGCTTACCTAGAGCAATAGCCTTATATAAACTAATAGGTATATAGTAATAAACTTAAACTTAATTATTTTTTTAAGATACTTCTAGATTATTTACGCCCTATATTATATTAACCTTGCCTAGTCATACTATACTCAACTCGGCCCATTCACCCAGTCAGGGGTACTATTTATTGTTCGCTCTACTATTAACCAGGGTTGTCTATCTCATCTCAAGTTGATCAGTATAGCAAGCAACATCATAGCAACATGTAATTACTTGCATCTTGCCTTCCATTGCCATCTCTGATCAACCTCATTCTCTGTCAAAGTCTCTCCCTGTGGATCTCATGATCGACGCGACTAGGCCTCTAAACGAAGCTACCGTAGCGCTGATCCATTTAGAGGATCAGCGTAAGTCCCCATCAAAACCCCCCTCCCCTGTCTTGCAACGTTAAATATCCACTTGGTACTCGGCCCCAAACAGTGAGACGGCGCCGCGTCGCGCATCATTTTTCTCCAGAATACGACGATCAACTAGTCGATTGTTGGCAGCTCGACTTTTTGTGACGTGACATGGTTAATTGAGCGAAATCCCATTATTGAAACAGGGTCATTAATTACGTGGCTGTAAGTCTTGGAGTATTCGGGAAGGTGACATGTCATGGCTGTTAAAGCAAAGAATGGCGCTTTGATGATCGCAATTTTTTCACATCATGCGGAAGTTTTCCCTAGGCGACCAATGGTTCTAGCAGTGCATGTAATGACAATCAAAGTCCATTCTTTATTAATAGTCAAGTTGATGACGATGACAGAGTGTTTGGCGAAAAAAAAAAAAAATCTGGTCTAGGGTAGCTGGGTTTGACAGTGAAAAAAAAAAATTCTGGTAGAGGGTTGGCCAAGAGCCAAACGTGTCCAAGATAATGCTACAGAAAGAGACCAGGACGTCAATCACCCTATCTTCCGATAGCTGCTTCTCCCCGAGTAGCTCAGCTGGAAGAGCGTTCGGCTGTAATGGATCTTGCATCTTACCGAAAGGCCACCTGTTCGAGCCAGGTCTCGGGGATTTCTTTTTGCTTTTCTTTTTTCTACTCCAATTTACTAGGAGTGTGCGTGTTGCCGTGGTTTTTATTTTATTTATTTATTTTTTTATTTTTTTCGTAATGTCGTTGTCTATTTTGCTACAATTTAGAGCAGCTGGGCTCTTGTGAGAACTAACTAGGTAGAACAATGCCTGTTGACACGGAGTTGACATGCGCTGTATCCATAAGGCTAGTGAGATATTATCCGTTGGGCTGAAAGGCGTATTACGACAGCTTTGTTGTATTGATCTTTGTGTTTCTCTCGCTGGGCTGTTTCTATCCATCTTCTGAGGTGGAATGAGGCAAAAGAACTGATTGAAGGCAGGATGACGCCCTCGCAGGACAGAATATAGATATCGAGTATCCCGATAGTCTCTGTATTCGCGACGCGATTCTTTGATGGAATAAGGCAACATGTGGTATGGTTCAAAAGGAGCCAATTGAGCGCAGGGCCTCTTAGAACGCCCACACAGGTATCAACACAGGACACAGGGAGAGTCATTCGTGTGTACAGTTGCAGATGTGGTGACCAAGTTAAGGACATGTTGGGGGTCTTTTTTTCTTTTTTTTATGTAGAATGGAGTGTTACTAATGATTCAATAGACATTATATAAATGGAAGTAAGACGTCAAGACTGTGGTTTAAGACGCTGCGTCTCAATTAACGGATTGTTCATGGGTTCAGACACGTCAAAACTCAACATGGCGAGATGGCGAATTCCTTATTAAGTCATCGTGTCGGAGCCTGCGTTCATCATGATTGATACCTCGGCGACAATCTCTTCCCACTCTAGACTAGGAGGATTTGCATCGATGTGATCTATGAGGGCTTGGAAGAAGTCGGGTAGTCTCTCGCCCTTCTTATACCGCTCCAGACGCTGCGTGGCCCGACGGTACACGATATCGTTCCAGCCCTCGTTAAGATCCATGCCACCACGTGGAAAAGTCGACCGAGATCCATTTAGACAATTGAACATTAAAGTTATACCAGCATTCTGTCCAGGCAAGAATAGACTGAGTGCCCAGGACGATCTGCAGCTTTGATGATAATCGTTAATGACAGGTAATTGTTGTTGATGAATTTCGCTATCTGCAACAGTGCCCGGGGATGGACAAAGAAACCCGCGGGCACCGCTGAACCCTTAAAAGAGAGGACGGCAACAACCATATAGTTGCCAAAACCAAAGCAAGCACCTTGTGCCAAATCCACCCAATTCGTGATATATCATCCATTCCATCCAACGCTAGAACGCCTTTCCCAAAATCCAGTTATTCACACATTCTTGGTATCAAATAACACGCCCTCCGCGGAGGTGCTGTGTTGAGGTTTCTTTTGCTTCACCTTTTCCTTCTATCCTGGACGGACCGTTGCATGCCAAGCGAGCCACACTTTAGTTGCGAGCCTCAGGCTGCTCGTACTGGGGAGGGACCTCCTCGTTGACAATCAGACCAGACTTCTCATCTTCGGCGATAATCTCTACAATAGCGGCCTTATAGTCGGCGCCTAGGGCAGGCTCGGGGCGTTCACCCTTGAAGTAGCGGACGAGGCGTACGGTAAGAGTGCAGAGGAACATGGCGAACCTGTAACTGGTTAGTATCTCCAAAATAATGATCATGATGAAAACATACAGAGCAACACCAACACCAGCAGTAACGCCCATGAGGACGGGGATGATGATGTAGGCGGTGATGTGCTTGAGCATGTTGGCCCAAGAGTAGTCGACGCGCTCGGGAACGAGCTGGGCGTGGCCCTGGTGGGGAGTGCCAGTCTGCTTGTTCTCAGAGTTGCCGTGTCCGTGGTTGTTCTTGTGGCCGTGGTCCTTCATTCCGTGGTTCTTCATTCCTGGGCAGCCCTTGCCCTTGCCCTTGATGCTGCCCTTGATACCCTTCAAGGTCTCGTGGAGCAGACCCTTGGCGCGACACCACATAGAGCAGTCATCACCCAGTCCGTTGTGAGAAGAGCCCTCCACTTCGATGCTTCCAATGATGATCTCGCCGACGGGAGCCTTGATGAGCTTGACCTTGACGGGAGGGACGCCGTCGACGAACCGGTCGCCGACCTCAATGATTCTAATCTCAACGCCAATCACCTCGAGGTGCTGATCATCATCCATGCCCTCAGGTCGAATGGCAAGGCCATATCCAAGTCGGCGCACAGCGCTCTTTCCATTACTCTTGGTGACGGGAGCTGACAGGTCTCCGTTCCACGGATCCGCATGAGGGTACAGTTCAAAGCCGTTGAGGACAAGTCGGTGCTCCTCGATGTTAAAGTTGAGCTCTAATTGGGCGTTGCGGTCGCGGCAGCGGGTGCAGGGGATGGTGATGGACTGGCCAAAGGCTGTGGCGGGGACCTCGAAGGTGTCGACGTCGATGGGGAGGGTACGGAAGATGCCATCATCGGCCTCGGAAGTGTCGGGGACGATGAGGATGGCAGCGGCCGTGGCTGCGAGGGCGAGGGGCTTCAGCAGCTGCATCGTTTATCGGTATCAGGTGCGATAAGGGGGTTACCAATATAGGAGATGGAAAATGTACGGGGGTTTTTTCTTTTTGGCGATGGGAAATGATTGTCGATATTTACGGTACGGTAGAGACGGGATGTTGAAGGGGGGAAAAGGGAAGAAATAGAGTCAGTGGTGGTGGTGTGCTCGTGGTTGCCTTTGAGTAGGCACAGTAAGAGAGAGATGATCGGATGTCTCGGTGGCGTAGGCTCCGCTTTGGGTAAAGGAAAGGGCCAGGCGAGGGGAACCTTCCATCCATGAGGTGGAAGTGGAACGCGGGACGTCCGGGGGGAGGCCAGCATCTCCAGCTGGGAAAGAACCCGACCTTGGTAGAGGTACGTACCTCTGCCTGGTCAGGCTGGGCGCTGCAGTGCTTGGTAAGAACCTACTACCTACCTACCTATGTACAGTGGATTACGGCCCCTCCCATAACGCTAAACTTCCATACTAAACAGCTGAAGACCTAAAGTCTCCAAGTGCCGCACGCGATGGTGATGATCATGCGTGCTCTTTCCCGCCTTGTCGGACAGTCAATGCCTGATGATTGAGGCATCAATTAATTACATGCTTGGGCATCTAGGTGTGTCCGCAAACGGCAAGGTCCTGGTGTAGATCAGCGTCACCTCTCGACTGAGAGATTGTTTCAGTTGTCTCATGCTGCAACCTGGAACCTCGAATCATCACAATAGACGGTCAAGTCATATCATCACATTGGATCCTCTGCCGTCTTAAAAAAAAACCGAGACCGATACCGAATACATCTCAGGTTGACATAGATTAACTAACTAACTAGGTGGTACAGTCATGTAACCCTCTCACATATCATCCATCGCGTATCCGTACTCTCTCTCGGCTCACATCCATCCCCCTGCTCGCATCCATCCATTTGCAGCAGCCTGTAGCATGCTTACACGCGGACCCGAATACAAGCCCGGCCGCCGAAACCAGCAGCCATGCATTAGAAACATGATCCGTCCAAGAAAAATACCAAGAGGCGCGAAACTCTCGGTCTGAATAATAATCGTCTCAGCTCAGGGGAAACCCGCGATGCGATGTGGCACAGGCAGGCATAGACAGGCACAGATATCGCCAGATTAACTCTGCGCCAGTTTTCCCCATCAGATCGAGACTATTCTATTCTTCCTCATCAGCCTCCAAAGTCGGTTTGTGCCACAGAGACTTCAGCCTTCCCGTCAGATGCTTCCATCGCTGGGACCACTCAGCCCTCGGGGCCAAGCCTCCGTCACCGATGCCGACGCCAAGGTCCGACACATTCTGATGACGATGGACTGGAGAGTCCTTGCCCCAGGGGAAGTTCGGATTCTCAGGCAATGCCAATGCCGTCGAAACAGCCCCGGAGGCCGACTGTTCCGTACCCGTCGTCGTGATCGTCTTCAGAGTCGTCAGTGACGGCCCCGAGTTCGTTTCTGTTCCATGTCAACGTAAATCCTTAGCATGCCAGTCATTAATTCCACTAACCCTTTGAGGTAAACGTGTGGGTTCTGTTCACCCAACCCAGCGTGCTATAGCTCATTGTCGCGCCCGGAGTGCCTGTGGTGTTGCAAGCCGACGAGATCTGGCCCGGCCCCGTCGGGAATGGTGGAGGAGCCGACCATGCTCCGGGTGTAGTCGAGCAGTTGGTCACGGTCGAGAAGGTCGAAGGCACAGGATAAAAAGACGAGTCAGTGCAGATCGACGACGTGCTAGATGTCGACTCGCATTGGCTAGCTGTGCTTGTCAAATTCCACGACCACCCAGATGGAGATGGAGTGCTGGTCGCCGAAGTCTTTCTGCCAGAAGCCAGGGAAATCGTCGAGTTCGTCACAGGGAACGGCTTCCAAGGAGAGCTCTCAATTGTTGTCGAGGGACCCCTGGTAAGCTCTATCTGGGTTCCGCTGGTTGTCTCGAATGAATCACTGCTGGTACTGGCGGGAGTACCTGACGTCATGACCTCTGTGGAAGACAAGGGTGGAGTAACTGTCTCAGAGGACCCCGAGGTCTCCGAGAAAGCCGTAACTCCGGAGGTAGTGTTCGTCCAGATTACTGAGCTAGAAATCACACCACTGGAGATCCGTGGGGTGCCAGTGACCATGGACATAGATATGACCGATGGCGTGGTGGTACGGATAGATTCGGACGACCCTTGACCAGTCACGGTAGAGTTGCTGGCTGGGAAAGTCGGCATTCCAGCGGACACCGAGGAACCTGGTCGAGTTGCGAAGCTTGTCGTCCAGTTGCCTGTCCATTGCGATCCTCCCGGTGTAGTAAGAATCAACGAACTGGTCATGGATCCTATGGCGGATGTCAAGGTAGTGGCATTGGACATGGGAAACTTGGGCGTATTAGTTCCTGGGGTAGGAGTGGGAAATCCAGTTGAAAAGGTTGAGTTCACAGGATAAGAGGTTGTGCTGATCCTAGGCGTCGGGATCGGGATGAACGAAGAGTTGGAACCCGTCGGGAAGGGAGTTGTAGTGTTCAGTGGTAGCG